AGAGAGAGAGAGAGAGAGAGAGAGAGAGAGAGAGAGAGAGAGAGGGTACTTCCATAGATAGGATTTGCAAATGGAATGAATCTACTGCCAGAACATGGAAATATACATTTTGATTTTCTGTTTTTTCTATTTGGTGTGTGTGTAAAAACTTAGCAACTCACGATGCATTTTGCAAAGTTGGGCGCAACGCAAAGATGGGATCCAACTCATGGCTGGGGTGTTTTGCAAAATGTTTTGTCATCCTCCTTCGCCCCAGTGTAGCTGCGCGAAGTCCACTTGTAAAAAATAAAGGCTCAGCCCATTCAATTAGCCGTCGAATCTGGACAGCACGGGGCCTTTCAGGGCTTTTGTCATTATAGTATTGCGGGGAACCCCTTAGCAGCCACATCCGTGCTCAAGCCTCCAACGAGGGGACATGGGGGAGCTGCACCCACCAGCAGGTGGGATACCTGCTGCAGCAGGTGGGCGATATCGGCCAGGGGTAAGCCGGTATCATCAGGACCGAGCTTCTTCGATGGGCCAGTCATTGTGCCTCCCCTGCGGTCCCCTCCCCTAATATGATCCAGTTTTTTTTATAATAATTTTCATAAAAAAATAAAAATAAAAAAATTCGAGGCCTCACAACGAGTTTCCAGCCCGGGAACAAAACGTGGTGGCTGGATTTGGCCGATAGCTTGGGCAGGCAAACACCCCCAAACCCGAAAAGCGGTCAGGACGGGTGGTGGCGGCGCAGAACCGCAAAACCGGGCAGGGGGGGGTTTCTCAAGCGTATGGTAGTCGGCCGGCCCGAAAATCGGCGAACCTCACCTCATCTCTGTCTAATGGTTCCGCTGTCCGCTGTCCATTAGTGTCCGCTGTCCCGGAAAGGCTGGGTGAGGCGCTTGTGCGGGCCGGGCCTCGACCACCGTAGGCGAAAGGCGGGGGCAGGCTGCAGGGCGATGTGCGTGGCGGTGAGTACAGTGCGCGCGTGTGTGTGTGTGTGTGTGTGTTGTGTGTATTGTGTGTGTTCTGTGAAACCTCGCACTTGTGTGTGTATGTGTTGGTTTGTGAAACTTTGGACTCGTGTGTATTTTTTTTTTTTTTCTTTTTTCTTTTGGTGTGTGTGTGTGTGTGTTGTTGAAACTCATCTTCTCCCATTT